CATCACTGAGCTTTCCATTTTGAATTACTTGGCATGTGGCTTCCTCATATAGCTGTTGAGTGAGGTTGATAAAGGTTTTTGGAATTCCGTACTGTTGAAGCAGTTTCCAAATTACTTCTCGGTCGACGCTGTCGAAAGCCTTTTCAAAGTCTTCAAAGTCGATGAAGTTGAGGTAGGGAGTTGACTGCCATTCTATACTCTGTTCTGTGATGATGCAAAGCGTTGCAATTTGGTCCACATCAAGTAATAATTACCAGTAAAATTAGGGGAAATAGATACGAGAATATGCTAAATTCGGTATAGCGGTTGAGTTTAAGATAATATCTGGTTACATTTGCGCCATTGACATCGATTCTAAGCCATATCACTTACAGTTTCCAACCACTTGCTTCTTTCTGTTGTTAGGTGGCCTCTGACCAGCTAGTCTGCATCTCTTTACATGACTCAGATCACAAGTCTGATCACCCCAAGCACTTTTCTAGCGTGAACATACTTTAGTCAACATTATACAATGAGCTAGACAGTCATCAGGAGTGCGTAGCGGATGTCCCAACCAGTTGATACAGTTTCGCGGCTGTTGCAGTTGTAGATCACCCTGTTCGTTTGCTTCTCGGTGACTAGACGCACGATCTGTGTTAAAAGTGACTTCGTATGTGGATTGTTTATTTCTTCAGTAGCAGCGGACATAGTTATACATATGGAATTGACTTATCTGACTGTACTTCTTACATTCTAAGATTATGTGATCGTAGTTTTCAATAGCTACAACCATTGTAGTTTATATCAACTGATTAGTTACATCATCAATGAGTCATGATTTCAAGTCTTTAGCCTTCTTAACTAAGGTTCTTTAGACCAGTTAGTTATCATTAACTTGTAGGGTTGAAATATGCTCTGTATTGTCGAAATGGATTAATTTAATTCGATACAAAGTTCATGTTCAGTTTTTGTCTTCACTAGGAACGGAAAACACAACAGCGTATAAATTTTTTTCTCTATTAGTCTAGATGGCTTAAAAAAAAGTGACGGTTGAAAGTGTTACTATAGTTGAGGTATTGTATGTTTTTGAGGGGGTTGTGGAGATTTGGAAATATTTCAAGTTGTTATTCATCGAAGACTGACATCAGTTGGAGGAACAAGGGAAACCTGGGAGCACTGGACAGCTGTTTCGTCCTAGTATGGGACTCCTCAGCAGTGCGCACCCACGACCCCACCAGCAGGGATTGAACCCGCGACCTTCGGGTTCCCCGGCCAGCGCGTTACCATTGAGCCACTGGGTCAGAATCCAATGCCCCATATTTCCAACTTCTGTTAGCTCACGATATATATATATATATATATATATATATATATATATATATATATTGTATGTTTGTTATATAAATGAGCACATTATAAACAGAGGAATACGGGATCATGTTAGCATATCAATTTTATAGTTTACACTTCACTGGTTTTATTCAACTTATGCAGAGAAATAAAAACTTTGTTCTTTTGCAAGATATTATTGGTCTGGTGAATAAATGAAATATGCTTTTTGTAAAGGAATTCATTATAGTCATTATTTCTCATATAGACAGGTTAGCTACAATAACACGAGAAAGAAATAACGTTGATTCATATAAAAAATTCGATTGATTAGATTATGAACTTTCATTGTCTAAAACGACTTGGACATGTGCTGCACATGCCGAGTTACCACCCACTAAAGGTAGTTAAATTTATTTGAAAGAGGGTTCCAGGTGGCCAGACGAAGATGTGACACCAGTCCATAAAGTCTATTACTGTTGGCTTGAGCTATATAGGGTCCCCAAAACCATACAAATCAGTGGCTGAAAATTGGTCACAATTGCTTAAGGTGTATTCGCTTCCTGACATCTTCTATAACTTGAATATTTGCACTAGCCTTTATCTCTCACACAACTTTGTTGACGTTAATATCACTGTTTTTGTACCTAACTATTCTTCGTGTACTACTGTGTTGTGTGGCAACTTGAACCGATGCAACTATGTGTGAGGTGCCACGTTAATTTTGTCTGTCATATAAAACATTATTAACTTCCTTGATATCACAGAAAAAGACAGAGTAATTAATCAAAATGTAGCATTATAGATCTTCTGCACTCAGCTCAAAGAACAAGATCCGGATTTTCAACACCATCGTCAAGTCAGTGCTCCTATATGGTTCAGAAACTTGGCGCGTTACGAAAGGCATTTCCAACAAACTACAGACATTCATTAACAACTGCCTACTCTGGCTCGATATTGAAGCTCAGATGGCCAGAATAGTGAGAATAAGCAACAAGGAAGTCTGGCCAGTTAATGAACCAACCAAGAACCTATCGCTTAACAAATATGCATGAGAAAGTAGAGATGAATTGGGCATACATTGAGAAGGCCGATTGGAGACATCACGCGCCAGACCAGTCACTCAAGTGGAATCTAAATGGGAAACGACGATTTGGGCTTCCGAGGCGAGGAAGACATGGAGGAGATCGTGCGATGAAGAAATGAGAGCTTGTGGGCATTCGTGGAGCGAGATTGAAAAGAGTGCAGAGAGAGTTCACTGGAGACGTGCTACTGAAGCCGAATGTTCTACTAGGAACCCAGGGGACAAATAATAATAATAATAGCTATACAAAGCCTTCTAAACTTTGGTTCTTTCATTTATATATGTCACTTAATAAATATCCTTCAGTGAAAATAGCTTCAAAAAACCCTCAGATATCCTGACTGTAATATGATACATTGTATAGGATGTATTTTTACTTGTGTAATCGCGGCGTAGTATATTAGAACAAATAACAAAATAAACAAATATTTTATCTGTAATATGATACATTTATTCCTGCTGAGTGAAATGAAAATATGAGCTCTGGTAGAATTGAAACTGGTTACCATCAAGGTTGAGGTTTTGATTTCACCTTAAAATATCACCTAGTATGAATAGAAGTCTGCCAAATATAAGATAGTCAAACTGATACACTTACTAGACAATGATTTAAAGTATATTCAGGGCATAGGACATGAAATAGTTAGACGGATAGAGAGGCAGACAGATAGAATGAGTGTATAATCTCGTGCATAAATGCATCGGTTTAATTTGCTATAATTCACAGTAGTAACAAAGATCAAGGGGATAGAAAAAGTGATATCAAAGTATCATTATGACTGTCTGAAACAGCCATAGGTTGGCAGACTAGTATTTCTGTTAGGTGATGATTGAAGGTGAAATGAAAATTTCGACCGCAACTGGATTCGAACCAGTGACCATTGGGTTTTGCGGCCTGATTCCGTATCAAATGACCTCGTAGTTCAGTTGGTAGAACATCAAATCGGAAACCTGGTGATAGCTGTTTTGAATCCGGTTGCGATTCATATTCTCATTCCACCTTCAATCATCACCCAGTAGAGATATCAAAGTAGAAAAAGTTGTATGACAAAATAAACAATCTGAACATAAAGTTTAGTGAAAATAATCAAGCTTTAGATGTTAAGCCATGAACTCATCTTTGCCACTGTGACCGATTTTCAATTATGTCACCGACAGTCAATCCCCAATCACTGATTCTTATCATCTCGGCGACACCAGCTTGCCAGTCTACATTTCCTCACACAACTCAGAATTATAGTCATGTACTTCACTGACTAGCGACACATCTTGGTTTGGCCATCCTCAACACATCCGACCTAATCGTCTTCTCATAACGTGACACATCGAGGTAGCTAGTGGCTTGGCTTGCGCAGTTCATATCAAAGCCACTTCAGTTGACTAAGGCTCACAACCTTATAACTTAGCTTGCCTGTCTTACCTAGTACCCTTCGCTTGGTCTCTGCATTGGTTACTTGCTGGTTTCATCAACTGTGAGCAATGTTACGAAGACATCTGTGATAGGAACCATGTAATCACTTCATATTCTTTTACTTTGAACGCCATGTTTCATAGTCGTGTAACAGGACTTCAGCACAGTATACTCGTCCTTTGGTAGAAATTCCAATATCTTGACAGTTGGTATCCAAGATGCTGCAAATTGACAACTAATAATCATGCCTTCTATATTCAAGATGAGATTTTGTTAGCAACCAGCCATTTTGGACTGATACAAATCCTCAAGTAAGTGAACTTGTCGATACATTCTACCACCACAGCAATATCAACGAAAGGAGTGATTTCCATTGAAGATAGAGGAGCAAAAATGCTTTTTTTCTTTGAATTGACACATTGGTAAAGAATCAAAACAATGCCTGACAGATATTATGAGTTGAAAAGACTCAACATTCATGTATTCATTGGTCACGGGAGTGGAACCAATTTCATGTTGTCTAGTCCTGAGTGTAGACTGAATTCTAACAATCATATTTGCAATGTGGCAACCAAGCTAGAAAGCTCAGCATCGCGGTGCACATTAGTAGATGTGAGTTGGTTGGAGGCAATCGGCAGGAAGCCCTGCTCCACCTAGGTTTCATGCTTCCTGGCACTCGTCAGCAAGGCGTATCTGCAACCTCGATGGAACTGATGTCCCGCCTGAGATTCGAACCCTCGTCACCCAGTGTTGTAGTCAGCGACTTTACCACTCAGCTATTCGGGCCTCAATCGACCTCCTGTAGCTTGGTTGCCACATTGCAAATATGATCGATAGAATTCGGTCTGCATTCAGGACTAGACAACATGAAATTAGTTGCACTCCCGTGACCAATCAATGCATGTAAGCCACTCCTCCAGGAGGTCAATCTCGGCCCGAAATAGCTGAGTGGTAAAGTCGCTGACTACAACACTGGGTGACGCGGGTTCGAATCTCAGGCGGGACATCAGTTCCGTTGAAGCTGCAGATATGCCTTGCTGACGAGTGCCAGAAAGCACGAAACCTAGGTCGAGCAGGGATTCTTGCCGATTGCCTCCAACCAACTTACAAACTCAACATTCTTTTTAACCATTCTCAAGCATATATGTGTTACTACTACTCCTTTTTTTCTTCTGGCTATTGTAATCATTAACGCAGATACGGTGATATAGTGCCAACTACAATTATTGGTAAAATTGTCGGTGGTGTTTGTTCCCTTTCTGGTGTACTTGTTATCGCATTACCAGTCCCAGTGATTGTTTCACACTTTGCCAGAATATATCAACAAAATCAAAGAACAGATAAAAGAGAAGCTCAAAAAGTAAGTTAGTACAAGTTGAATTATTCAATTTTAAAGTTTGTCAGTTTTACTATTCATCATGAATTGAAATCATTTGAAGAAACATTGGAAACGTTGAGACACTGGACCGCTATTCCATCTTATTATCGGACTCTTGAGCAGTATGCACTGATGTATGTGTTAAGGATTTAACCCAAAACCTTCAGGTTCTACTACTACTACCACCTTACCATCGAGTCACTTGGTCGGGATCCAACTGTCCATATTTCCTAATTCTGGCAGTTCAAAATGTCAGTTCATGATGAATACAAATCTGAATTAACAAAATTTTACATGCTTCCATTCCTTAAGTCATCTTCAGTATTGTTCTCTGGACAATGAATCTTTCCTGTCATATATTGATTCCTTTCCATTTGGTCGAATGGTATAGTATAGTATATATATATATATATATATATATATATATATATATGGGTATATTGTCTATCAGGTGACTTGGTAAACTCTACGTGGATTTTCAGCTGTCTATACATTCTGCAGGACAGAAAACTTTCCTATGATGTTTCCGCTTTTCGTTTTTATACTTTGAAGTCTACATTTTTTTCCCAAGCTCTTTTTTTGTAACATAGGGACCATTATCAAGATATAATCTTGTGTACTTTTCTCCATCCAACCAGTGGGTCAAGGGTTCGAACCCCGCTCCACCTACTGAAATTTGGACAGCCAACCAGGTAGTATCACACACTAGGTGTGGCTCCACTATGCCCACTGTATAACAATGCATATGGATGATGAGTACATTTCAATGAGGTTTCCGAATTTTCTCCACTAAATCTTTGAGTTAAGTATCACCTTCCGTAAATATGTCTGATCTTGCCTAAACCCGTAACCCTAAAAACACCTGGAATAGACTAATTAGGCTTCTGTATTCTATGAAAATCTGGATTGACTTTAATGCACCACCCTAGGAACTGCTGAAATAATCAACCAGATGTTGGAATTTCGTCTGGAAAAGTAATTTTTCGTAAAATAGAGGTCATCATAGCAGTTGTTAGGGTGGCAATTAAAATCACTCAAAATCCGATATAACTTTAAAGGCTACCTTAGGAACAAATTAAATAACCAATCAAATTTCTGTATTTTATGAAAAAGCTACATTTCCTTCTGGAATAGAGAAATTTAATTGGTTACTTCAGTCTTCTCAAGGGTGGCCTCTAGAGTCAATGCAAAATCTCCTTTACAGACAAAATAAGGGAATCTAATTGACTGCCTTATTCATTGTTACAGCAAACAATATATCACTAACCAAGCTAAAAGAAAGACAAAGTATTGTTAATCTTTTATATAACAGTTCGTTTTGCCTTTCTCCGTACATGAGAAGACAAAGATTATTTCTTCTCACTACCCTTCTTTATCTTACTTATCTCAATTATGCATACATGCAACTGAAGTATATATACACATTCCATACAAAAATTCACAAAAGATAACTGATTGAAATTTCGTACAATACTTGTTCATCTTCAACAGTCAGTTATTTCAGATCTATAAATCTCACGGGAATAAGTGACAACTTGATCCAAATCTCTTGAGGAGAAATATACCAGAAGATTAGGAAATAAAAATAAAATCTCTTCTAAAATGAATAGGATAACAATGTGACCGTTTAATACTTTTCTCAGATTCTAATTTTCTTTTCTTCAACCTGTGGCATCATTCTCATCATGTTTGATTTTATTAGTCAATATGTGTACATGCGTCAGTCGACTCACGTCATAAGGTTAACTTTCTATCTATTTGAAGGAGATTCGTAACAAACAGGAATATGATATAAATGTTTGTTGATTCTTTTCTCAACAACATTCACCCTCAAATCGATTAAACAACCTCATATCTATTGACTTTATTGTGCTTATCCATTGATGAATATCCAATGGTGAAATGAAAACTTGGACTGTGGTGGGATACTAACCACCGGCACCGGGTTTCTTGATCGATGCTCTACCAACTGAGCTACAAGGTTCGACTGATCACCAGAATTTTTATCTGACTTTAATCATCATGGATTTTGCCCCACTTCCATGTAGATTGATAACGTGTTAATATCGCTTGATCGTATTTACACTAGTTGTCTGGTCAGGACTTCTCATCCCAGTTGAAATGTAACTGAATTATAGAGGGGGAGTATCATATTGATTATCATTTGACTGTCTGAGGTAGACTTGGTTTGGCAGACTAGTAGTGATATTGGGTGATGATTGAAGGTAAAATGAAAATTTGAACCATGTCTAGAAATATTCAGAAATATCCGGCCACAGTCCAGTAAAAATACTAGTCTACGAAACCTTGGCTATCTCAGACAGTCAATATGGTAAGAGTTTTCTGTTGTAAATGTGAAGTCGCTCAAACGTTTAAAGTATTACTACACCATCAGAGACTGGTTACGAAGAAGTTTTGAGGTAGTGACAGATAGAGAAGTTGGCATGAAAGCATATCTGTCCAATTTGTAGCACTTCAAATCGCCCTAGAAATAAAGTGGATGGAACAAGAATGGCATTGAAGTGAGTAAAAGTGTATGAGCTGGGAAGAGGATAAACACATAAAAGTTAAATCAAAATATTTATGACTTCTGAGATGACAAAGAGTCTGTACATTCCCACTATTGTTACCGATTTTGAACCATGTCACAAAAAGTCTCAAAACATTGATTTCTAACATCTTGAGGATTGAAGCCTGTTGGTCGTATCTTTGGACGTCGCATATTTGCATAAAACCTTATTTATTTACTTATGAATTCTTGAATTGCTGTTTTCACGCTTTCCTTACTCCACGGCCAATAGATCATTCTCCTTTTTCCAAGGTAAATCGCTGATTGGTTGATGCTTACTTTTATTATGTCAATGCTCCAAATTCTAGACAAGGTCATATATCAAGGACATATATATGCATGTGCGTGTGTTTAAGCTTGTTGCCAGTGTTTTCGGCGGCCGAAAAGTTTTCAAGTATATAAAACTAGTGCACTATGATAGAATGTAATCCTATTTTAATATATTATCACGTACTGTAACAGTATTTCTTTTACTGGACTACGTTTCAAACATAATTTATTGTCTACAGTCGTCATATCAAGATATATACACAACTTTGAGATATCCCTTATGTATAGTCGTAATTTCCTCGTTGCCTTTATAATACGGGTAGTAAGATTTTCCATATATCCGGAAAAAGTGCTGAGACATTCCTGTTGCATGTATTCGGTGTTGATTCGATAAACAAAGTTACACCCTTTTTAGTCTGTTTATTAGAAATGTCACATAGAGTGAAGGAACAGTATCATTTACTGAATAATATTTTGGATACAATTTGCTGTCCATATTCATATCAGGTAACTAACTCCACAACTTTGAGACAGCTTATATACTTCTAATTTCCTCTCCGTCTTTGTAATGACAAGGGTAGTAGACGTTTCTGTGTATCTGGGACAGATCAAATATGCTGCTGGATTTCACATAGAACTTTTACTTATGACTTTATCCATTATATCACAAAGCTTACCTCAACATGTTGGATCTCCATTGGTTCGGGAATTTGAAACTTCCTGACTTTTTGTTGAAAGCAGTATGTAGTAAAATAGTAACACGATTAGATGTCCAGACGAATCCTGCCGATATTATTGCTGAGTATGCAGATGGCCTAGGTCACCACATCACAATCAAAGTGATCCTATGCACAAAACTAAATGTACATCGTTACCTCTGTCTGAGTCAGAACTGAAACGAATACAAAAACAGTGTTATTACCACAGTATCCTATTCTTCTTTGGCCACTTTAGTCGTCACCAAGAACAAAGCTGCTGGCTCTACCGGACTAGGTGCTTATTTTTCAACAGGTCCTAATACTTCCTTGGTGAAATATCATTACCCTTTACCTGTTCCCCACACTAAATGAAGGTGAGTATTCAATAACTATCGAACTAATATGACACATTCTTACAAGTTGAGATTTCTCCATAACTTCAAGAGCTCTTAATCACCAACATTCACCGAGGTCCTTACCAGTACAATGGTCTGCTATTCGACATTAGGAGCTATCTTGCCATTTTTCAACAGCCCATGGATACCATGTTAGCAAGCACTCCAGGTGTTGCTGCTTACTTTGACGACATCATAATGGTTGCCATCTGCGTAACGAAGTTCAACAAACGAATACGGTTGATCCTACAGCGAACTCAAAAATAGGCCTTCAAATTAGATTTGGAACATTTTTCTCCTTATCACAATCCATAAAATATTAGAGGTTATTCTGTGATACATCTAGTCGACTTTGTGACCCTTGAAGCATTCATGTGATCCATTAAAGGCCAACTCTGACAGGTGCTGCAACACTTTGGTCATTTATGTTTATCACCAGTTACTGTTCGGTGTCCCTTCCCCCTCCCTACTTATACGACATCTGTAAACATTGAATCATCCGCTTGGTGAAAATGCCTCATGGTCTTGGTCAAAAGAATCTGATGCTACCGTTAAACGACTCAGGTTCACTCTCAGTTTTGACTACTTGTTAGCATATTATAACCCCAATCTACAAACAGTCATTGCAGCTGATACTTCCACTGCTGGTGTTATTGCCATTCTCTTTCACGAATATCTAGATGGTTCACATACATTCTGATCTCACATATCAGCAGAGAAACGCTACTTGCAGATCGAAAAGAAAGCACTTAGTTATTGCTATCAGATGTTTTCAAGAGATGGTCTATGGACGAAAATCCACCTGTTCACCAACCGCAAACTTCCTCTAAGTCTTCGGGGCGAAACGTAGTGTTCCAGGTCATCCCACAAATAGGCTTTAGCAGTTGACGCAAGCTGGCAGATGTTAGATGTGGTTTTTTTTTATCTGACATGAGATTTCTTCAGTAACCTAGCCTTTCAGGCAGCTCCCCAAGGAAGTGAAGTGATCGACACATTCCACCACTTCAACTCATAACATTAGACTTGGAGTACTTGCAGACCAGTTCTGCA